AACATTTTCCGGTAAACAAATTAAGTTTTTAAAGTTTAAAGATAAAGTCGTGTTTTATACCGTGTTTAAGCCTCTTGTAATCGAATTAGTTGCTCCTATGCTGACTATAAAAGTTCTGTTCGAAAAAATTATACTTTATGGACTAGGGACATGAAACAGTGGAACTCGATTCTCTTACATAAATGTTCGTTATGCCAAACTTTGTAGTAGGCTTTCTCAACGTCTAAGTATACTAAGCGGTGTTTTTTTTACGAAGGTTAAAGGTTCTGGCTATACAATCTAAAGGCCTTAGGATTCGTTGGAAGTAGAGCGCTTCTCACGGAAATAATTTTGTGAACTGAAATACTATCCTCTTCCTCTATAAAGTATTTTTAATCCGCAAGTATTAGCCTCCGCAACTTTACCGATTTAGGGGTATTAGAATTAAGTAGACCGATAGTTCCCTTAAAAATTTTTTTTCCCAATTTTTTTTTTAAATTGAAAATTGAAAGAACTTGAGCTAACTTTTAACGTTTAGGAAAGTCGAATGTAGTTAATATCAAGTTAGAGGGCTCGCTTGTTAATGCAGTAGCGTTAGTAGTAAAATGTTTAAGCGAAAGATTATATATACTATCTGGTCTCACAGTGTCAGTTATATTTGTAAATACTTCGCAGCTGGTATAATGAAGTCAAATGGAATGCTAAGGAGCGCCCCTTTTCGTAAATTGTAGTAAAAGCCTCAGAGGACTAGAAAAGCATTTTGCAAAGACGTTTAGATTTACCTTTAGCAAATAAGCGCTGCTTTCATTAAATTCTGGTGGTATAACTAATAATTTGTGGGAAGGATTTAAATACCTTAGAAATTCAATAGCGGCAAGCCCTCGGATTTAGCCAAGGCATCATTCATTCTTAAAGTTTCTTATTAAGTTCGGTCAGTTCTTTCTTTGGATTGAGGCTTTTTTTATGTATTAAAAAGCTTGTCTTTTAAAAGTATGAGGTTTAGCGGTGTCTTCTTTTTATCATTTATCTGGGTTAAAAGGCTTTGAGGGCTTAGAGTTGAAACAGCTTATAGTTAGTAGAATGCAACATAAATATCCGACTATGACAAAAAAATTTAATATTTTCAGTAATATTGAAAAGTTCACAAAAATGTCTTGTCCCTTTAAGATGGTCGTCTACTTTTTAGCGTAAGGGGGCCTGAGCTTCAAGGGAAAACTGTGCTTCCCCGTTCATTATGCTCCAGGCTCTTGAAAGAACTTTTAATATAGTAATACAAAAATATAATTTTAACTACTGTAATGCACCAGGAGTACTGTAGAGTTGAATTCCCTGTCCTTAAAACAGGAATATCAGTTGAAGTGGGTCACATAACTAAAAGTTCTTTGTTTTTTTTTTTCGCATAGGAGTTCATTCAAGGGTGTGCTTGTATTTGAGAGCTAAATATATTTTTCAGATACTCCTTTTAATTTATTAAAATTTTTTTCAAAGCATAAGGTTTAGAGAGGCAGACAGCCCCGATGCACCTTCACTTTTTTGTAGTAAAGTGCGTCTTTCCCAACAGCTTTAAAGCTTTAGAGGTTACTTATAGTTAGCTTCGTGGTCTGAATGCCTTTTATAAGTAGTGTAATAGGATACTTTTGAATTGTTACCTTCTATAATAGGCAAGTTTCCTAACTGAGAAAAATATCTAATGAAAACGAGAATAAAGTTGAACTCGAGTTTTAATTCCGCAAAGACATTTGCTACCCACTTTGAATTTCTAGTATCTTAAAAGATAGTTATTGAATTTAAAATATAATTATTAACGGCCTCAGTTAGCCGGACTTGCTCATGGTTAATATTAATAATTTAGGCTAGTAAAGGTTGCTTTTATATTACTACAAAATATCTTGCGGAAATAGTTTGGTCTAAAACGATCTTTATTATTTAATAATATACTAGTTCTCGAAGCTATCAGCCTGTGAAATCAACAAATAATAAAATTAAATTTTTCTTTAGTAATTTTATACCTTACTATGATGCACTGTGCGTTCATACCTTTAAGTGCATCGCACACCTCGGATTTATTTGGTAGGCCCATATACCTGAGAAGCTGCCATCCATCCTATCTCAAGTTTTTTCTAATACTACCTGCCTAGGATTCCAATCCCAATCATTGTTAGTTCCAGCGTACTTATCTTTAATAAGTGTCCACCCTCTTAAAATTACCTTCATATTACGTTCAAATCTTTTATTTCGTATTTACGCCATACAGGCTTGTAATTTTCTTTTAGTTTTATTTAAAGTAGTCCAAGTTTCATAACACTTCTTTTATCGGAGTTCCGACGAAGATTATACAACTTAATAGCTAACTTCAAATCATCTTCGTAGTAAAACTTCACCTCCAAGTTTTATGTTTTTAACAATATTTTTGACCGTTCACAACACATGATTGTTTTCACTTCATCCAAGCTCTGCAATAATAATTTCATCTGGTTGTTTAGAAAACTTAATTTTTTGTAATCTATATTCGTTTTCATTTAAATGGTAAAGGGATATGTTCACTAGTTTACCACCAAACTTTCTTGAATCTTCCGCTACGATTGCTAAGTTGATATTATTAGGTAGGATGTGATCAACGATACAAATGTCTAAATGTTGGTTAATGCCCTATATTTCCACTTCTTTAAAGAGCAAACCAAGTGTTCTGAATCGATTTCCTTCAAAAAAGATGTAACGCAATATATTTATGTTAATTTAGTTCATCCAGGACTTCACATTGGATACACTAATTAAATTCTCCTCCGCGCCATCTAACAAATTTCTGAATGTGAAGTAGCCTATTATTCCTTTTTAAAATTATCATTATTCATACGATGACTTTCGTTTCTGTGTATATTATGAACCTTAATTTATTACAAAAGCGAAAGGGTTTGTAAAGCTATTATTACATTAACAAGGGTTGGCCAGATGACCAATCTTTTTGCACTTATAACTTACCACCTTCCTTTGTTTATATATCGTTCTTGTCATAATTTTCTTTTACAAATTATTTGTGAAATGAAGTTCACATCCCTTGAAGCTCAAAGGTCCATACCACTCTTCTGCTTTGGACAGGTAGTCCCTAACTTGCTCTTTTTCTTCTTCTTTATTATATTAAAGCAAGTAATGTTATAACCAGCAAAAGTTTCAATATCTCCCAATTTCATGCTATTTCTTTAAAGAAGGCATCTCAGTAACTCTCCAATCAAATCTTCGTCTTCTGTAATTCACATTTTTTGGACTTCTAGTTTTATATCAATTCTTAAAGCCTATTCGGCAAAAAATATAGTTGTTGCTCCGTTGGTTATATATTACTTAAGTCCTTAGCCAAAGAGCGTGTTGCTGAGTTTACTATCACAAACCTTACTAATAAAAAAAAGGTACAAAACAAGATGCTTTAATTAAGTAGGACAGCGGCTGACCCGGAGACCAAAGCAAAAAGGGCTGCCCCTCACCTTTGAGCGGAGCTTATATACATTTACGAAATAATCTTAACTTTGGATGCACGCGCCATTAATCTGATATCGAAAGTTTGTCTAACATTCTAAAAATATATTTTAAAGATTTTTGAGCAAATAATAAATTTTTTATATATCAAACAATAAATATTTTTTATTTTTTTAAAATAAATTATTTTATAGTTGTATATAATAAGATTTTGCTTGAAAGTAAGCTTACAGGGTTATGCCGGTAGTAGGGTTAATATTACTCTCTTGCAAATTTAATTAAAAGTGCCGAAAGATAACAGAATTTAACGATATATTTTCGCAGCTTGTTTATATATTTAAACCTGTGAAGTATTTAAGTAAATCTTTTTTCCATCCAATTTACATATCCTGCTTTTTACCAAACATAAATATTAATTTTGTAAAAGCTGCTATAGCAAGAAAAGCGGTGTACAAGCATAACTGGTCCTATAACTTCATATACAACTGTACACATCTAATTAGACTAAATAAAATTTCTAGAATAAAAAGCTTTTTTCTACATACCAGAGTTTTTATAATTGAAATAATGCTAAGTTGTAAGACAAGCTACCAACTTCACGTAATAGGAATGCCTGTCCATAGCATAAGGAATATATATATAAATAAAAACCACTTACGAGGGCAGAAAAACTCCTAAAAAAAATACTAAAGTTTGCGTTACGTACAAATTGTCATGCAGATTTTTTTACTTATACAAAATAATAGTAACTAAGCTATTAACTTTTCATATCCTTAACTTTATTCTACTTGTAAAACCTGTTTCATGGCATCTACACCCTTCTCTTTAGTTGAATAAAATCTTTAAAACTTCAAAAACTGTAAGCACTATGCAAATTACAATACCGGTGCAGCACAGTATTTCTCAAACTCATTGTGTACACTTTTTACTTTTAAGATTTACAATATATAATATAACGTAAATATTATTAGAATAAGAAAAGATTATTTATATGCGAGATTACTACGACTACTTCCCAGGTCGTGTCTTATGCTCTATAATATTTACTAATTTGATTTTAAAAATTAAATTCTAATTCATTATGGTTTCCTATTTATTTATAATAAAGTAGACTCTTCAACTTTCTTTTACAGATAAAGAAAATTTGTGGATACATTTTTATAACGAACTTAATGGAGAAACATTTAGTGTTTGCAAATAATTTATTTATTAATTTTTTCAATCTTAGATATTATTTTAATTAGGTTAAAAGAAGAACAAGGACTTTTTGTAGAGTTTTCAAATTTTGCCAGAGAAATTACTGAACTTGTTAAGAAGTGCCTTGAAGATGATAAGCATTCAAAGTATATTTTTATTTTGTATAAAGAATTTATTCTCTAAAAACTATACAATATTTAACACTTCAAAACTTTTATTACTTTTAAAAATATAATTATGAAGATTTTAGTATAACAAAAAACATCTGTTTTTATAAATTTTTATTTATTCGTTACTATTAATTAATGAATTTTAAATAGTGATTATTTTTTTAGTTTTATAGTTTTGTTAAGCAAGACTGATCCAATAGAATCCGAAAACAATTGGCTTCTAAATATTGTTGAAATTAATTCCTTCAGAAAACTTGTAAAGTTATGCTTTGTTTTTTATTTCTCAGCATAATTTTTTCTTTAATTAATTTTTATTAAAGATCCACTTATCGCTTCCCTTGCAAAGGGCCAAAGATATAGAATTAACGGATCATCTCTTGTCCGTTATGAAAAACAAAACTGTACTTTTGTAGTTAATTAAAAAAAAATTAATTGAGAATTTTGCCAAAAGGAAGAAAATAAAACCCTTGGACTAAAGTTAGAAGAACTACGTGAAGAGTCGTCAAGGTAACTTATTGAGATCGAAAAGTTTAGTAAATTTGATGTATAAAAGAATTATGAAATTAATATAAGTTATTTTCAAATAAAAGAAAAAAGATTTATCACGAAATTTTTAATTTTACAATAAGTTTATAAAAAGTTAGTTATTATTTAATTAAAAAAATTAAGTTATAATGCAAATTATAATTTTGCTGATCGGCGGGCCACGCGTTTTTTGTGTACTAATCATAATTTTATAGATTATACTTTCTTAGGCTTTCTTAATTTATTATTATTTAAACAACATAAAAGAATTAAAAAAAGTCAAGAGCTGAAAATGCAGCAGTTGATGGGAAGTTTCCACTATATGAATGCTGTACTTTAGCGCTTTTATAATTTAAAATTAATTTTTTTTCAAGATGAATTTGTAGAAAAAAGCAAAACAGATAATAAATGCCTTCAAGATGCTAAACTTAAACTGGTATAAAGGATGCTTAAATTTTACTAAAAATCTCAAACAAGTTATTCAATAGTCGGAAGAGAGAAAATCAGCTCAAAGTAATATAAAAACTCTTAAGGAAGATAAAAATCTTTTATCAGAAAAGATTGATGAGTTGAAAAAAAGCTGCAAACAGTTTCTTTTTTTTTAATACTATAAATTTTTAGTCAAATTATATATAAAAAGGCTCTTGATGAGTACCACTCACATAAAGCTTCCAGCGAAGAATACAAAAAAGTATTGGGGGAAAAGATAAAGTTAATTAATGATCAACACGCGGATCTTCTATCTCGTGCGAATTTAAAATTCAAAGATTTAGAGAAAGAAAAGGTTTTACTTAGATTATTCGTTTGACCATTATACATTATTGTTATTATTGCTTATTTTCAGAACGTGAAGGAAAACGGAGTAGAAGATCTAAAGGCCTACGTTTCTGAACTTCAAATCAAACACAAAAATGACATAAAAAATTTGGAGGAAAAACTCTCTAAAAGCGCAGAAAAATCAAAAAAGTACATTAAAGAATTGAAGAGCAGCTTTTAACTGCCAATAAAGAAGTGGAAAAGGTGGCGCTTATTTTGTGCTGTGCTCGTAGCAACGACCTTAAAAGTCTCCCCACGTGGTTTGTGGTAGACAGGCCAATGATATTATCGGAAAACTTCATAGGGAGTTGCGAGTGTGCAAATCTAAACTTAAAATATCATTAACGGAAAACGAAAACTTGAACAACGTTCTACAGAAACGGACAAAAGTGATTTCTTTTTTTATAAAAGATAAACTTTTTTTTTTTCTTTCATGTGGTCAGTCGCTGACGGAGGAGGAGGAGTATAAAGTAGTGCAAAGCTAAAAAGATATAAGTTCATTGGAAGCCGCAATAGATCAAAAAAATAATGATTTGCAGGCCCTTCAAAAGTGTTGGTTTTATTATTTTTAAGGTTAAAATAAAGTTACAACTCCTATTTTCAGTGGTAACCAATTTGAAGGGGCTAAAAGAAACAAAAAACTTTAAGCTCCTGCGAGAAGAGTATTATGATATTGCATTTGTCAACCAAGCCAATCAAATTAGTGCGGCAATGCAAACATCTGCATCACTCGAAGACGTCGTTAATGCCTTTTTTTGTATATAAAAAAAAGTGGAAACTTTTCGTAACGCTGCAAACTTTTCATATTAGACTGATTGTGAAAAGTCTTTTTAAATGCCGTCTTACTTAACTCTGTATTGAAAAAAAAAGTCACGGTGTCCGCAATTCAGGTGTCTCATGAGCGGAGCGGTTGCTCAGGACAGCAAGGAGATACGGCAATAATTGGTCTTGTTAAACGCTTGCTTGCAAGGGTAATACTGAGCAGTTCAATATGCTTATAGTGTATACTTTTATTATGGCCATTAGAATACGACTGCGGCAAGTCATAACTTTTTTTAGCCATTTTCTTTGAGATATAAACTATCCGCCATTGGTGCACAGGAGTTTCAAGTACGTTCGGTATCTCTTGTAAATATCATAAGAGTTATCAGTGCATTACAAATGGTGCCTCGATGATATTTATATGGGAACCTCGAGCTCGTATTGGACATAATCAAGGTTGTCCATCCAGTATTTAACTTTCGCGTCTAAATATAGGGAGCTAATAAGAGATATGTAATCGGAATACTTCATAGCTAACCATTCAGTCTTTCTCTAACATTTTTCTGAGGACTATTCAGCAGCTCCCGAAGCTCCGTTTCAAACGAAGCTATTTGTCTTTTACACATGGAGATCTGTCGTGTCTATAGGAGATACCCAATCCCAACGCACAAAAAGAGCTTTCCGCTCATACCCTGATTCCTTGGCTGTCCGTGGTCGGAAGGATCGGTCGCTGGAAGGTGGTTGGTTTCGTGCCAATGGGTCTACCCAACGGCGACATGGAGACATACGCTGCTGTTTTATTTATGGCGTTCAGCCACTCCTAACGCATAATGCACATAAGACGGAGTTAGTTACGCACAAAATAGAGAGAGGCGAAGAGAAAACTTCTTTTGTATGTCTACTAGCTATGCTCTTATGCGCAACCATGCCCTTTTTAAGGGTAACACAGGAATTCATTGACTAACAAGAGCCAGGGGCAGTTCAACTTTTGGTGGAATTGGTTGGTATTAAAAAAAGAAGACCACAGATATTGCAAACGAGATGGTTTTACGTAGGCTTACACTGCACTTCTCGGAGCTCTCACAGGATATATAGATTTCTCTTCCGTCGTTACCGCAAAACACAAACCGATTTGCATGATTGACTTTGGGTATTTTACTAAAGGAGTGGTGCACCTGTAAATGTTTCCATTAGAAATGCTTTATAATTTATACAGTTTTATAAGAAGAAAGACCGTGATCCTGTAGTAAAGCCTTTTATCTTTAAATTTTTCAGGTATATAAAATTCTAAATACGGGGGCCTTAGTGTCATCCAGAATAGAGACCACTTTTTAAAAGGTCTAAAAGTTCCTTCCCACTAATAATATCTTCATAAGCGGAGAACAATAAGTCCAACAAAAAGTAGAGCATTAACTTTTTTTCTTAAGTCCACAAACTTATAATTAACTTTGCAAAATCCCTGCAGGGCGACAAACGACTCCTTTGCAAGTAATGAGGAACGATGCGCCTCCGACCTCGTGTCGTCCCGTGGTGTAGTCAGCGTCACGGTGATGGTGCTAAAGCGCGCCCCTTTCCCTCTTTCCTGCCTTAAAAGAGTCTTTATTTTGCGGCTAAGCGAGCGAGAAGTATCAGCGCCAGCGCCGGGGGGAAGGCTGTCGGGGCGACAAAAGGAATTTTGGTAGAAGTGTGAGGGCGGGGGATAGCCGAGCTCACACTTTTTGATGCTGTAGTAAACTTTCTATATATATATATATAAGTCGAGTGTCTCGACTGTAGGAAAGAAGCATGCCTTTAGTCGCTCCTCTGGCCAAGAGCCTTCTGGATGTAAAGCTTTGAAATTCTTAACAAAATCAGATACACTCATTTTGTTTTCAACGCCTTCAGAGTGCAGATCCGTATTTAAAAGAACAACCTTAAGTTAAAATAGGCTATACGAAAAAATAGAAAAATGAAAATGAAAAATAAAGTACAGCAAAAGTTAGAGAAAAACATTCATCCGTTCCCGAAAACTCAGCAGGATTGCAATCGTAATACCTGTTGGAAAAGTACTCTAAAATTCTCGAACGTTCTTGTGTTTCGCCACTCAGCGCAAACGTTGAAAAAAAAAACCTTTCAAATTGAATTAATTTATAAATTTATTAATAAAATAATTTATATATCGCCCAACCGTAATGCTTCTTCAAAACTTTTCCCTGAAAAATCGTAAAACTTGAAAAACTCTAGAGCGGTTTGCTTATTGTAATAGATGCTGTTTTATGGAATTCCCAATAAAAAAATTAACAATTAATATTCAAGCCAAAAACAACGGAATGATCTTTAGCTTTCAGAAGATTTATAAGTTAAACGCCTTACTCTTTAGAGAAGATCTCAGAAATTTCTGTTTTT